ATTAATAATAACAGTATTAATAATATTATCAATAATACTTAATAATTTAAGTATTCGGGATTTACTGATTGCAAGTAGATGACACACTCTGCAGTTAACCAAGAAGTGGATTCAAAATCCAATTAAACATACTACCTGGGGTACGTTACTTAAAAATTTCTTAAGACTTCATATGCTTATTGTAAAGAGGAACCCGTAACACCATATGATATAGTTGGTGTAAGGCTTAAATTAATTTGTAATGTGTAAAACTTGAAGGCAATGCCTACTGTTGAGCTTCCAGAGCATAGTGACTAATGATGAGAAGTAATGGTGAACTGACATTTTTTAATGGTTAACTGAAATTTTTTTCAAAGAAGCAGCTTATGAAAACAATCAAATGCAACTGTATTTATGTGCATGTATAAGTAAAAGAAGTGGTCTTAAAGGTAGTAAGGAGAGTTGTATAAAAATAAGGGACGAGAGAAATATAGATGGTAAAAGAAACATGGGGAGACAGGTGAGAGGAGAAGAGATGTAGGAGAGAGCTGAGCTATACATCCAACTTGTGCAAAGGGACCCTTCGAGTCGAGTATGGACTGAGATAGATGAGAGCGTGAAGAGAGGCAGGAGTCTTCGCAGTTTGGCTCTAGGGTGAGTGTGTTAATCAGATTAATTTTCATTTGGCATATCCTGCTGTTTACTTGGACAGTGATGTCTGAGTAAGTTATTATTTATTACTTCTATTCCTTGACATTCTGATTAGCTCATCAGCAATCAGTCACGATTCACAGCTCTTCAATTGCTTTTATTAAACAATAACCCCCTCCCCTCCCAGTCAGCAAATTATTCAGGTTTGGAAAAGAGTAATGTTTCTTCAGCGTTTGTGTGCCCTGGGCCAGATGCAATCTCGTCATGCTGCGACAAGACTCAAAATGAATCACAGAATTTTAAGACCGAGTTTAAATATGGAAGGGTTTCTAGGAAATTTAAAGGCATGCCAACCACCTTTGGATTATTTCAGGCTTTCATGATTTGGGGGAGGGAACATTGAGGAGTTGGCTAGATTGGTGCTGTAATACGCCTGCTAGTTGTGTGAATTCTTCCTGGTTTGGGTTGTGTAAACCCAGAATGCATGTTATTCTCTGCTTTTGTGTTTATCAAATAGACCAAATAGACTCACATAGACCTATTTATCAAATAGACCAAATAGACTCACATCCAGGTGTAATTGTAGCCCAGATGATTATGAACCCGATGAGCATAAGGACGTTGTCTGAGGATGGCTGTCTGAAGATTTCTGAGGATGGTCCGTTTTCTTTGGAAGAAGTCCAAGAACCCATCTACACATGCTGACTCTTCGTGATACGTTAGATTTAATCACAGAGCGTTGTCTATAGAAGAGATATCTTTAATGTTGAGTCATATTTTCTCACCTTAACTAAAGAAATTTGTTCTCACAGTGGGGAAAATGGCTCAGGTCCTTTTCTAATGAAAATCAAACTAGAAAATCCTAGGGTTTTTCTCGGTGAGCATGCTGCGCTTGTCAGTGTACAGACTACAATGATTTTCTATACAGAAAGTTAGTCGAGTGGATCCATAATCCTAGACATACAATTAAAAGCAAATAGTTATTTCATGTTATGGAGATCTCTCCCTCGTGGTGTCAGGATGTGAATGTTTAAGCAGTCACACCAACCGCGGCATTGTCACTTGTCTTAGTCCCATTGTCTGATGAATAGAGCCTCAGAAAGATGTCTTCTTATATAGCTTTTTTTTGTTTTGACCTCATTCCTAGCGTATGATCAAAATAAGACTTTAGGTATATAAATATGAACTTAAAAATGTGCTGTGAATAATGCTTGCTGGCTTTAAAGAGAGCTGTATCTATAAGATATGCTTGGAACTCTGTGCTGCCTCTGTTTTTTAACCATTGAGGCACCAATCAAATTATATATATATATTTTAATCCTGTAAAAACAGCCTCGGACAGGACCTGGAAAGCATGCGCAGTGTGGCTTCACCAGCCAGGAATGTATCATGGTGTTAAATCTTATGCTGGGGTGAGTCAAACTCTAAAAGCTAGAGTGTCAGACAAAATCCCATAGATTTGAAATTATCCTAATAAATCCCTTAAATCGCCTATAAAGTACAATATGTGTAGTTTTGTGTATATAACTGTGAACAATAATTCTTATGCACAACATAGTGTGAGAACCACTGGGCTAGAATAAAGGAAGGAACAAAAGGGGTGCAGTCTGGGCACTCAAACCATTCTTTCTTTATGGTAACTACTCCATCCTTGGAGAAGTGGAGAATTCTAAAGAGTGCTCGCTTGTCTGCAGGCTTTACTCTATTCTGTAGTGAGATGAAGCCTCTAATCTTCAGACATGTTGATAGATTTGTTCGGTTTTATTAGGATTGAACTCGCCAGTGTACGAGAGCACCTTGCGTGGGACCTGTCGGTGTGATGCATTTAAATCTAAACATTGCTCATCAGATCCTCATTGTTCTTCGATAAGTTGTGGGGAATTTAGCCTCTTGCTGCCTGTCTCTCTAGATTGGGATTTACCACTGTCCAGCAGTGCTTCCGTAGTTTTGCAGATGGGCTGCATCTTGTGGGTTAGTCGGAGGTGGGAATGTTGCATATAATGTGCCTCAGCTGAATAGCCTAGATTCTCATGGATGCTATAGGTTTACTCCAAGTCAACTGGTCTTCCTGTGTATGAGATTCACCTGGTGAAATTGTGTAATCAGATGTTCGTGGAGTTTTGAATGTGAATTTTTTTTGAATTTGTTTTTGAGTGTGTATCTAAATATAAGGAACCCTGTTCAAGCCCTCAACTGCTAACTCAAATGTTAGTGGTTTAAGCCTACCAGCTGCTTTTGGGGAGAAGATGAGACTGCTCCCGTAAAGATTGATAGTATCAAAAACCCTAAGGACCACTTCTACTTCCTCTGGGCTTGCTATGAGTCAGAATATATTCAATTAAAATGGGTTTGATTTGAGGTATCGAACCAACACACACACACACACAGTTTTAGAGAGCTAAAAATGTTAAATAAGAGTTCCCAGGGGACTCTTATTCAACCAGCATCTTGCCTTTAAAGACCAATGAACAGGAGAACTCTGGAGGTGGACTATTTTCCACAAGTGACTATTAGCATTTCTAATACTGTTTTAGCTTACATCATTTAGGAAATTCCTATGGTATTTATGTTTAACCTAGATTTTAAAGTACATGATTTCTGTTATTAAGTGAGTCAACCATTTACTTAGGCACATAACTCATAAGATTGGTAGTTTAGTAGGTATACTTAAATTTACATATTTTAAAAATTAAATAGCAATTAAGTAGGTAACTTATTTGCTTCAGTGGTTAGTGCCTTAGGTTTCCACTTGAAGGTCTCTCTAAAATAATAGCCTGAGGTGTTGTTTATTTTTAATAAGCTGAATTTTGAGTAACATTCTTGTTTTCACATTTAAAAGGAAGCAGTATTTCTCATAAGTCATCTTAGATTCAAAATTTTACTGAAAATCTAGTTTGGAAAGGGAAGATACATTTCATCTCTAATTTATTAAGAAGGGTAAGTGCAGCGTGACTGCTCTGTACTGCAGCACACATTCTCTCATCACTGTCCTTAATTCCTGATTCACTGTATTTCCCCTGTCATTGTGTGTGCTTGGTCCTACCCATTCAATTTTTTATTTCATTGCACCTCATTGTTTCTGTTCTTTTTCTTTACCTCCGTTCTCTTCCTCTCCCCTGGCTTGATTTCTTCAACATGTGAACAAAATTTACGTGTCCCCTTGCTAAAACAAACCTCTCTTTCTCTTCTGACTCCTCAGCCTAACACTTGAGTTCCTGGTTTCCCTATACTACCAACATTCTTGAGAGGGTAATCTTCATTTGCTGCATCTGACTCTTGCAGTGTGGAATATACTGCCACTATTTTATTGCAACTCCACTTTCAAGGAGGTACCAGTGACTTCTGACATCTTGAAACCTACAAAAGTATTGATCATACTCTCCTTAGTACCATCTATTGACCTCTGTGGCACTGCATTCTTGGTTGTCCAACCTCTCTGACTGCTTTATGGCTTCTTTGCCGAATCATCTTCTGCTTCTTCTATCTAAATGTGCTTGTTAACAAGTTTTCCTGCTTTTAAGGTCCCTCCTACTTTTATGCATTCCTTTTTACAACATTTCTGCTTCAGAGGCCAGGCAGATTTATTGGGGTCCACTCATGGTCCCCAAGTAGCTACGATCACCCTGAGGAACTCTTGGACTGAGCTCAGTGAAGGGAGCACTGATCTGAGGTGTCAGAGGAAGTGAGAAACGGGTAGAAAACCAGTGTTGCAGTCAGAACCATATATCAAGTCTGAAAGGTAAGGATGAAAAATGGAGAATTAACAGTAGCTTGATAGATTGAATCAAGGGAAGCCCAAGAGACCGTATCTGATGAATGGGTCAGAAATGAAAATGTGTTTCTACCCCAACCGCTCCAACCGCTTTTCAAGGGACCCAATGTTTGTTACCTGGGGGCAAGATCTCTAACATCGTTAGCTTTGATTTCAACAATGTTATTCCTAGGGAGGAATTTCAATTGTACCTCTGAAGGCCCATTTCAGAGCTCTGTTTCCATCCTCTTCCCAAATGGTTGCACACAGACACCCACCAACACACAAAATTTAATGTATTCCAAAACCATTCTTCCTTTTCCTCCTAAAGTGATTTCAGTGTAGACGATTGCTTTTATCTCTTCATTCTTCTGTTGTTTGTGTCTGTGTATCCCTGTACATGAATTATCGAGCCTTTCAGATTGTAAACTCCTCGTGGGTCAGGAAATATGTCTTCTTTACCTGTATCTCATCATGTTTACCGAGTATTGCTCAATGGACAGAGGCAGCTTGCTGGGTTGAGCGGAATCTGATCCTCGTTAACAATAGGTGATCTGTGATAGTCGTCTTTAATTTGACATTAATTTCACTTTTCATGCATTTGTTTTATTCTAAAAAGCTTTTTTATTAAGCTGTGCTGATGGCATAAATGGAACAGTTAACGGGAAGACCAAACAGGCCAACAGTTATATTGTCAGCAGAAAAGTGGCTGCTGGGAAGAAGGATGGTGAGTTTAGGTGGTAAATCTAAATTCCTTTTGGGGATTAAATGAAATGCCTGCTTCCAGTATTCGTTTGCTTTTTTAGTAGCTTTTTGTTTGGTTTGGTTTTTTGACAGTTAATCAGAAATTATCACATTTTATTTTTCTAAACTTCTAAAACTTCTGATCCTGTATGTCTTAATCCATTTCTAAGGTGTTTTTCCCCTTTTGCAGTAGCTTTGCTTTTTTTTAACTGAAAATAATCCCAATATTCTTAACCTATTATTGCCACTTAATCTAGTCACTTTATTGTGCCACTTGTAAAAATTTTACCAATGTGCCTACTATAACAATTTATTTAAAACATTAAATGATGCTAAGAAGTATATTTAACATACAACAGTTCTAAAAATGCATTTGTAATAACCTTAGGAAAATGGTCATGAAATATTATAGCTAATTTTAGTTGCTCTTTGTTGCCAAACAAAATTGCCATGTTTTGCCATTAGATAATTATGTGGCACCTGTTTTCTATTGGAAAGATGACGTGACCCTTGAATGATTGATAGTTCCCTCTGAATTTCTCATTCCTATCTATAAATGCTGCAACAGGTCTGCTAGAACCTTTGAAATAATGCATTTTATTAGGGAGAAAAGGACTCAACAGTCAAACGTTTTCAAAATACCAGCTAAGTGAACTTTACTTAATCTTCCTTAATTATTGATTTTTCATTTTATTCCAAAATATTGGCTATAACATGGTCACAACATTATCAGAATTATAGCTTAGTTTCCATAGTGCTAGGGTACCCAAATTATCCATAAAACCATAATCATTTTTATAAAAAGAACAGTAGCTACATGACAAAATGGCATTACTGCCATTTAAAATATCCTAGGTACCACTTTACCTCATTTTCTTCATGCGCCCCAGAAATTTGGATCACCACATTTTTCTTTTTCAAATTACAAAAGTTGAATTTTCTACCCCTAGATTTTTCTTATCACTAGACAAAGATTCTTAGTATGTATTCTACCCTGCTGTCTTTGAGACAGACCAAGCACCTTTCCTTTTTAATGTCTTTTTATAGCTAGTATCTTTCAGTAAACAATTTTATAACTATCACTTTTTGTTTTAAAAAGCACTAGATGCATCTGTTTTTTCTTTTCCCCAAACTTTCTAGTTATAGACGTTGGTTGGCCTTGACTTGTAGGATCTTACTGTTGTACTTCTGCTTCATTATCTCTGAAAGACTTCTGACCTGAGCCTTTCTCTGGACTTCATACCATTTTGTATTCATTTGTTGCTTTTCTTCAATTTCTTCTTTTTAATTTTGATCCCTAGAACTTCTGTCCTCTCATTGGGCATGCCCTTGGTCTGCCAAGAGTACTTTGTAATCAGCTGTCAGACCCAGCTTAGGCATATCTTAAGGAGCTATTCCTAGTGAAATGTACTCTGATAAAACCATTGGATACCCAACACAACAACAACAACCAAACTCACTGCCATTGAGTCAATTCCAACTCATATCAACCTTACAGGATAAAGTAGAGTTGCCCCTGTAGGTTTCTGAGACTGTAACTCTTTGAGGGAGTGGAAAGCTTCATCTATCTCCCAGAGTGGTTGGTGTTTTCGTACTGCTGACCTTGCAGTGAGCAAGCAGTTGGGCGCCTAACCCACTGTGCAGCCAGGGCTCCTAAGAACCTTGCATAAAAACAAACACAAGAAAAGTCCAAGACCCTTGCATAGTGTACTCAAAAACTGCTAAGCTATATCTGCCTCTTTCTGTTTGAAATATGTTCCCATTGAATCTCAACCTGATTTTCCTTGGGACTTGACAAATACCTTCAGTTTTCAAAATGGAAATGGCTACTACATCGTAAGTCTACTGAAGTAACCAGCCTGGTTTCCACAATATCTTATTTCTTCAGTTTCTCTTGAACTCATCTTTTAGAGTCTTCTCTCCTTTTAGTCTCTTTTTTTAATTCAAATGCATTCCTTATACTCACTGTCATTGAGTTGATTCTGACTCATGGCAACCCTCTCTGGGTTTCCTGGGGCTGTGAATCTTTTGGGGAGCAGTTACCCTCCTCTTTCGTCTTTAGAGTGGCTGGTGGGCTTGTAGCTCAATGCTTATCTCATAAAATCACAATGCATCTTATAGTTCTGTATTATCAAAATATGTTATACAGAGTAATCATGTTGCATCACTTGTATCAAGACATTTGATTAATAACTTTTATAGCTATAATAATATAGTTAATTTCTCTCGCACATTCCAAGAGGAGGCTTTGAGACATGTCCTTGTCCATGAATCACAGTCAGGTCTTTTTGACAGTTTCCTCAAGAAAATATAAAAGATTATAAGAGTATATATGCAGTAAGATAACCTTGGCAATTATATTTTCTGGTAAAACATTCTATTTTTAAAACATTTCAATTCTTTACTTTTGTGGTATTGATGGTGCCACTTCTGTAAATAGGATTCTGAGGCATTTTAATGGCTCATATCCAGCGCATTTGCTGTGATTCTATGTCTCCACAACAAACTAACTCTTGATGGGAGTAGAACGCCCTGTGTCACACAGAGTGGCTGAAGGTTGAAAATGGCTGACCTTGCAGCTAGCAGTCCAGCTTATAACATATATACTCGCGTATAAGCCGATCCGAATAGCTGCCGAGGCACCTAATTTTACCACAAAAACTGCATTAAAATGTGCCGAAAAATTCTGCTTATACTCAGCTAAATACAGTAACCCACTCCACCACCAGGGCTTAGTATGTCAGAGTGAAATACTACTTGGCCTTGAACCATCCTCTCAGATGTTGCTGTGCTTACATCCCTTGTTTCTGCCCCTGTGTCAATCATTGAGAGTCTTCTCTTTCCACAGCCTCCGTTTGAGCAAGCATTCTGTCCTTCTCTAGTGCCTGGCCCTTCCCGATAACATGTTCAAAGTATGTGAGGTGAAATCTTGTTAAGCAAAACTCTCACCATCATGCTATGGGAAGCATTCTGGCTTGATTTCTTCCAAGGTAGATTTCTTTGTTCTTCTGGCATCCCATCGTATATTCAGTATTCATTGCCAACACCATAACATTAATTTGGATTACTTGCTCAATTTTTAAAAAATCATTGTATTGGGGGCTTGTACAACTCTTATCACAATCCGTGCATACATCCATTCTGTCAAGCACATTTGTACATTTGTTGCCCTCATCATTCTCAAAACATTTGCTTTCTACTTGAGCCCTTGGTATCAGCTCCTCATTTTTTCCCCTCCCTCCCCGCTCCTCCCTCCCTCATGAACCCTTGATAATTTATAAATTGTTATTTTTTTTGTCATATCTTACACTGTTCGACATCTCCATTCACTCACTTTTCTGTTGTCTGTCCCCCAGGGAGAAGCTTATTACCTGCTCTTTTATCTGCAGTGGAGGAGCAGTTGAAATCTATCCCTGGAATAATTCAAATGAAAAGGGACAAATGCTTCACATTGCTCATATATGAGATAGCTTTAGAAAGTCTGTGGAAATTTTCCATTCTCTTGAATTCCATTTTGCCCATGAGCTTTTTGAAGCCCCGGTACATACTTCACTAGAACAAATGGCTTCATATTTCCCTGTCTTAATTAGGACAATTCAGATTCTAAACCTAAGGTTAGCCTTAGGTTTGCTGCTAGGTTTTCATTGCTTTTTTCCTAAGGCCCCAAGAGAAAGTCAAAGTGATTGTATCCTGCTTGATTTGCTGATTATTTTCCATGTAAATGTTAAACACTAATTGGACACTTATGGGAATGAAGTAATATGTACTTTGAATAACTTGATAGAGTTTCCTTCTTCCATTTTAGATTTTTCCTTGGCTTACCACTGCCAGTCTTACAGATGAACATCTCTCTGTTGACTTTTTTCCCTTATTGGTTGGTAGGAGCAGGAGGTAATGCTTGGGCTGAAAAGAAACATTCTTTTCTGCATCTGAAAGGCGGCAAAGTCAGAGGTAGGATCACAAAGTCCTGGACAGCAAAGGGATGTCTAAGAGAGAGGCAGGTCAGAGTCAGGCTCTGAGGCTCTGAAAGGTCTCCTTTCCTAAATTCCAGATTTGTTTCTTTATTTAAACTAGTTTTTTCAACTAGGACTCTTTTCTTCTCTTTGTGCAGTGTAATTAAGATAACGTTGTGTAGTAATAGATTCATATTGTATGTTTACATGGTTATGAAATATACTGTTTTATGAAACATAACACTGTAAATGTCCAATGAAAATTCTGG